TACAACTTAAGTGAATTGAACAATTGCTAACAATTACCTTCCCTAAACCCTAACAGCCGTCAAAAATTCTTTCTCAGCATCTGGGTGACCCAACCAGAATGAAACATCCTGTCAACAATATCCTGTTGTGGCAGAAAGCGCTCTGTTACAGGTCCTTACAGCTGCTAACAGTCCCTAGAATCAGACAACTGTTAACTTAAAAAAACCTAACAGCCGTCAAAAATTCTTTCTCAGCATCTGGGTGACCCAACCAGAATGTAACATCCTGTCAACAATATCCTGTTGTGGCAGAAAGCGCTCTGTTACAGGTCCTTACAGCTGCTAACAGTCCCTAGAATCAGACAACTGTTAACAGTGTGGGCTCCAGGTACATGTCAGTCACAGGGCCTAACAGGACCAAACAGCCTCTAACCCAGTGTCTAACTGGCTGTTATGCCACGTTGACAACTATCGTCAGCAGCTGATAATGAGCCCGGCTGACAGCCCCGCCTAAGAAGTTAGCCGCTGTTAGACCCCCTATGAGTTGGTAGGGGTGCCTGGCGGGACAAGCAGAAAGAAAATCCCCACAGATGGCAGATTGCCTGGGCCGGGTATTTTTGTTCACAAACAGTGCCAGAACTATCTATGCATGTGCATGAAGAGTGCGCACATGTACGAAAACGCGCCAACACAGTGCGTGCCTCTTGGTCTATGAGGGGAGTTGTAACTTATCGGGGGGGGGCCCACTCTTAAGGAATACATTACGGCGACGCTAGCAACTTTGTTACTTAGGTCGGAATGAATTGAGACCCCCCCTAAATGAAAAAAACATCACTGCCGGACATTACACACACTCTGAGCATGCTTGTGTGACACGTGCCCGTGCCCACCAAGGCCCACATGGGCCTCGTGCTGGGCATGATGCGCTACCTATCCGGCACCTGCACACTTGGGCTGCGGTACCGTGGCGACAGCTGCAGCAACACCAGCAACTTCGGCAGGTACAGTGATGCGGACTGGGCCGGCGACCCAGCCGCCTGCCGGTCCACCACAGGCTACACATTCTTGCTCGGCAGTGCAGCGGTCAGCTGGAGCAGCCAGTTGCAGCGCACCTTGGTTGCCTCGTCCGTGGAGGCCGAGTACCAGGCCGCCGCAGCAGCCGTGCACGAGGCACTATGTGGCTGCACAAGCTGGCGGGCGACCTGGACCTGTCACCCGGCGCCATCAACATCCAGCTGGATTCACAAGGCGCGCTCAGCCTCGGCAACAACCCCATCATGTTGGTGCGCTCCAAGCATATCGATGTGCACCACCACATCATGCGTGAAACGGCCGTGTGTGGTGAGGTTAAGCTCAGCTATTGTACCACCAACAACACGGTGGCTGACATTCTCACCAAGGCACTGGGTGAAATCAAGTTCGTGCACTGCCGCACGGTGCTGGGCGTCACTTAGATCGACAGAGCACCATGCGAGGGGGGAGTGGAAAAAATGCTGCAGGCTTAGAGGAAGTGTGTCGAGCTAGGAGGGCACCAAGGGCGCATGGCAGGCTCCCGAATGGGCAGGTTAATGCCTGAAGGGCGCCATAGGCAGGGCATAAGGTGCTGTGCCATGCTGTTTTCCGTGTGTGTTTGGACTGCGGCACCAGACCGCAAAGCCAACAGGCTGAAGGCTGGCAAGCTGCGATTGTGTCTGCTGAGCGTTGAGCAGCCGACCTGGACCGCGGACTTGGCAGCTGAGCGAGCTCATCAGTAATAGCAGTTTGCAGTCAGGCCCCTGGTGCGACTCGAGGGGGCATGTTGGTGTGAAGGGGGTGTGCCGTGTCGCCCCGTGGCCTGCAAAAGGCCCCACGTCAGGCTGTTATGACTGGCGGCTGTCAAGGTGCTAGAATACTGACAGGCCGCCCGTCAGGACAGGCTACCTTAAAGCCCCTGCTGTGTGTCGGTAACAGCACCTCAGACTCAATATGTTTACGCCCAAGCAAGGGGCTATCGGTGGCAGGTCGCGGACCTCCCGACTACGTGTAACGGCCAATTACTCTTGGCCGTGTCTGCTAGGTCCCAGAGAGACACCGTCTCTTCAGCAGTACATGCGCAATGTGGTGCGTATTTGGCGGGATTCTTTGGCTGCGGCGGGCAAGGGTCACAAGTGTCCCTCGCCCCTTGCTCTCACCCCACAAATTTTTTCCCGTTTCCCAGACAGAGCGTCCTTCACGTCCGGGTGCGCGAGTACTACCGTATTTGGATGATTTCCTAATCATGTTTACTTCCGAGGAGCAAGCAAGTTTTTGCGCGTGCTGGGTGCGTGAGAGTATCGAGTTTTTGGGTTTGTCATGTCATCCCACCAAGTGCCAGTGGGAGCCGTCGCAGTCAGTGTATCACTTAGGCATTACGGTCAATACGGCAGCTGGTGTGTTCAGGTGCGTAAGTAAAAGCTCGCCAAATTGCGGTGGCTGGCGATCGGGTTGCGGGTTGCGGATCATGTCTGGTGCAGAAGTGTGAGCTGGCTAAGTTTTGTAGTTTTGCACAGAGCATCAAATTGGCCCTTACTCCAGCTCTCTTATTTCTCCGCAATTTTTACGATGATGTGAAGCAACCGGTTGGTTGGTCCGGTCGAGTGTGCTTGCCCCGTGGGTCATTACGTGGCTTCGGGTGGTGGGCGGACTTCCCTACCCACCATTGCTCGGCGGCTATTCACCAAGGCCCTGCTGCAGTTGAGCTTTCGGTGGATGCTTCACGCCATTCGTGGGGCGCGGTCCTGTATGATCGTGTGGCGCACGGTTATTGGTCAGCATCAGAGCTCTACAAACACATCAGTTGGAAGGAGTTGCACGCTGTCCATCATGCATTAGAGTCCTTTCTTCCGTTCTTTCAGCAGCGTGTTGTCTTAATCAGGGAGGAAAACACGTGCACTCAAGCAGTGCTAGGGTATCTTTCCTAGTCGTGCCGTACTGGACGGCCCAACCTTGGTGGCAACAGTTGATGGAGTTGGCGGTTGACCTTGTGTTCCTGCCTTCGAATACGGAGCTGTTTGCGCTGGGTGCGGGTGCGTCGAGCACCTATCTACCCCCCCTTCCTGGCAGGTCTGGCAGTGCGGGTGCAGTCGTAGTGTGGGTGCTTTCGCATGGCACTCGGTCGGTCAGTGTGGCGCTGCAATTGCGGGGTCGTGTGCCCCCGAGGTGCACTTTCCTAGCATTTCACCCCCTCCCCCAGGGGCTCGTAATATCTTGTAGGGGCAATGGGACCTCCAATGAGGAAGCGCCTTAGTTGTATATTGTGCAGGGGAGCGGACATGCAGTTACAGCGAATATGAAGGAATTTGTTGTGTGGAGGTGTGCGCTCGGAAGGCACCGTGCAGGTAGTTGGTCTTTTCATCGCGTTGTGTCACCAGCGATTTGAATTCCCCTGATTTCGGAGCAGTTTCGCTTTGTTTGATATCTGTTGGTACCGCCGGCTCCAACACCGCTGGTTCTGGACTAAGTTCAAGTACTTCTTTTGGCGCTGAATGGGTTCGTGTGTCTCCATTCGCGGCCTTGTGTTTGTTGTTTGTCGTGTTAAGTCTGTGTCTTTTCTTCGTCCGTTTTCTCTGCTGTCGGTGACCTGGGTTCGGAATGGAAGGAAGGCAGGGTGGCTTGGCGAAGTCCTGCAGGTAGCTGGAATGCTGACTAGACGGCACACGAACGGGCAAGTCTTAATACGTAGCAAATAGCAACCCGCGAAAGGGGTCAAGATTCCCTCCAGGCAATCAATCAACAGCGATAAAGATTTACCTTACCAACTGAGTATGCCCGGCGTGAAGGATATGGGCGTTGAGCGGCCCACACAGGAGTTCGGCTGGTGAAGGGAAGTTACTTATGCGGCTTATGAGAAGGGAGGTCCGCACAGGGCTTGTTGTCTAGCTCAGAGAACTTTACAATGTTCCAATCATGAGCCGTAAAGCGACTTTTCCAAGCTCGCTGCCGGCTATAAATACCGAAGTCTCACTGTCGATCACAGGAGGCCCTCAAAAGATAAGCCTCGAGTACGACCACGACGTATAGTCCACAAATGACACAAGTGAAACACCCTATAACCGTGTGACAGAACATTCACACAAGAAATGAACATTTCACAGGTAAAATACATAAACCTACGCAAACGAGCGTACATTCGCATCTCGTCCATAAGTCGATCAGCGAAGTGTAAGATAAGAACCAAACACCCTACGCGATAATACACGAAATTCGCGTATTCACACCGATTATAACCTAAGACGATTATAAAAGACGGTAAAATGAACGTGACGCTAAAATGTCGTGACAGCTGTCGCGTCACATGACTGTAGCACCGAACAAAACACGTGCGTACGGCAGACTCCCCCCCCAGCGGGCGAAGCCGAGATGGTGAATGCCCGTGGAAAGCTCCATGTACGCACCTTCAAAGTAAGTGCTCAGCTAAGCTGCCATCCTTCAAAATCACACGCTTGATAGCCGGATTCGTGAACACAATCAGCCAGATAAAAGACTGGTACTCAGACTCAACGGAAGGACAACTCAACATCAACAAACGATCCTTATCTTGCAAACTGCGCAACCACTTCATACGCGCTTCATCAGCACCCGATATGTGATCTACCGGAACTCTAGCGACCACAAAGCCCTTAACAGACTTAATCGCGGCTGGAATCGCCAAATCTAACAATGCGCCAGTGATTGACAACACTGCTGCATCTACTGATGTAAACTGCTTATCTACGCCGCCGTAAAACTGAGGCGACAAGGGATCACTAAATTTTACCGGCTTCCCTTTCAAGACGCGCGCGCCAGAAGACAACAAAGCGACACGCAAAGGATTTGAAACCTCGTATGGCAGAATTACGTTATTAACCAAGCTCCAACGCAACGCTCCTCACAACACGTCGACATGCGACTGCGGTACGGACGGAAGTTGAAGACGTTGCTCGAATAATTGATTAGTGACCAAAGCTGTCTTGAATACTGAATGGTCTCCCGCCATAGCCAGATCCAGCGCCATCGGAACATCCGCGGCTGAATCCAAACTCCAGTGCTCCAGTTTCGATGCGGCTGCTGCAACCGCCGCTGCTCCCACCGCTCGCCTTGGGCGGGCAGACTTAGGTGCAAGCATATTGCGCAGCTGCACAACATCCACCAGCTCCAATTCGCCGTCCTGGTAAAGCACCTCGAAGAAATGCTTCCTGCCTCGTTTACCGGCATAGGTAGCGGCACCGGTTCTCGCGGCACGACTGCCAGAGGGTCCGGAATTAGATCCAAATACTCGTGACCCTTGTAATTCGGCAAGATATTGCGGAGGAACAGGCTTAGTGCTGGATTTATTGGAATTACTACCAGAGTTAGCCAAAGATCGAGAGTTTATTTGTCCTACGGTGATGCCTTTAGAAAGACAATTAGGACACACCCAAGTGCCGTCGGGGATTTGTTTGAGAGGCGGTTTCAGGCAATTAGTATGCCAACCCGTCCCACAGCTATCACAGAGAAGCATCCCCATCAGGCATTTTGCAAACCTCACAGGACAAATCAGCATGAGGTCGGGACAAGCGAGGATCGACAACCTCGTCTAAAATAGGCAAATGACAAGGTGCACAGTGCATAACATGCGTTTGCATGGTTTGACCGTCTTGACCTTGCAGAACAAGTACGCCACTGGGACGCACCTCACTAACGCGAAGTACGGCAGGTTGAACCTTATGATCTAACGCCGTACGCGAACTAGTATTACGATAATAAACATAATCCCCTACGTCAAACCTGCGCAACCTAGGATGGTTACCCCCAGCACGCAAAGCGGCATATCGTAACGTATCCCTATGCTGGGCGATAAGTAAATTTTCCCCTGCAATACTCATGTTACGACGCATAGCCTCGCCACGCTTAAGGAGAGCATCAGAAGCCTCCTCCAGAGAATCGAAGGAGATGTCCTCCTCAAAGCGCTGCTTCACCGCGGGTGGTATAGTGGGCTGAACTCCGTGGAGCAAACTGTATGGGCTGAAACCAGTAGACTGCTGCTTCGAACAGTTGTAACCCAACATGATGTAAGGCAGCTGCTGATCCCAGTTGGCACCTGCACTCCTGCGGCTAGAGTTAGCAACAGGGATGCAACGAGAGCAAACGAAGCAAAGTGCCAGCCGCTACGTGGCTGTAATGCGGGTTTGCCTAACAAAGACCTACGCCTATACAGTGGCTTCTTTCTTCCTGTGCGAACAGGAGGCCTCCTAGGGTGGCGCGAAGAGGAAACAGGCATGGGTCGTGTGGCTAGGCATGCGTGATCTATTAAACCGTTGGCCGTGTACGAAAGAACGGCACCAGACGCCGTGAGAACGGGGCTGACAAAACACACGTTAAATGCGTCCACAAAGAAAGTGGCATACATAAGAAGCATAAGGAAAGTGGAACCGAACTGATTCACACCAACTGATAACCGGGACGCGAAGTTGCCCCAGTAATCTCGCCTAGTGTTGTTGACGTAGGCGGTTGACGTGCCCTGCTCAGAGGAATGAGAGGACTGGTGCGGAAAAAGAGGGATGTCAGCGGTGGATTCCCCTCCCCCCAGCTCGGAGCCGGGAGGAGAGGTGCTGGGAATGGCCATGCTGACCCACGCAACTCCCACAAGTGAACCATGCTGAGAAGGCTTGTGCTTCACAAGCTTGCGCATGGGAATGGTGACTTTGTAGTCGGGGTGCTGCAAGAAGTTGGGATAAAAGTGCAGCCTAGGCTCGGGATATGATTCCAGAGCGTCCCCCAAGAATTTCGCCTGTTCGTTACCCACTAGGAGCTGAAACAGGTCTGGTCGTTCGTCAACGACCAGGGTTTTAGTAAGCGGGACCCGCGTGGCATGCGGCGTGCCCGGAAGAAGCTCGAAAAAGATGTTGGATGTGTCCAACTCCCCTCGCACAGCACCCCCTAGCTGCAACGAGGTGGACAAACGCGTGGTGGTCTCTACTATGGGTAGGTTAAGCGCTTTGGCTACACTGGTCGGCATTACGTTAACCGTTGCGGCAAAATCACGCAACGCCTCCGGAGCTGCCCTGTCGCGCTGCCCCTGAACCAACACACACGCCCCCTTTTCGTAGTAATACAGACCCTCGGGTTCCCCCATGTAACGCGCCGCCGACGGATTAACCGCTAAAGCCTGCTCCCGCTCATCAGGCGAGAGCTCCGACAGAGTGCGTGGAGGCGGACCCTTAACCCCACTTACCTGGTACTCAAAACCGGCACCACGGTGGTCGGAGGGTTTGGCGCGCCCTTGGGCCGCCAGGGCAAAAGACGCCAGGCCAGAATCAAGGGGAGATGGCGTGACCAGCTCCGGTGCTGCCGCCGGGAAACAGGCGAGCTGCACACTCTTGTCGGCCTGAAGCGTGGAAAATCCCTCCCCGAAGCTGCTCGAAACTGAGCTGGAACCCTGCATTGCTTGGGCCGTACTTGGGGGATGGGGTTTAGCGTCTAAGGGGCCGCCGGTGGAAGGCAGCCCCTGCTGACAAAGCAGGTTAAAAAATGTGCCGACAGGCATGTCGGAGATTTTACGCAAGAGACTATGGTCATACAGCACATGAGTGCGTTTTGAGTTGCTCGCCACGGGTGGTGTCGGTGGCGGATATTGCTTCGTGACTAAAGGGGCAGGAGTGAAGGACTTAGGAACAGCCTGCGAATGCATGGTGGCTAAGCTGTTGCACCTTATTATTATTATTATTATTGTTACACCGGTGTCCGCTCAACCTGGCGTGTGTTAAGGGGGGAACGCTCTGAGGTCTGCACCTAGTCAGTCCTATATGCTATATTCCCACCGCGTCACCTCTACGGGCCCTTTTCCACCCTAGAGTTCCACCTATCGTTGGTGAGGACGCCACACTATCGCTGTGGGACACGACCAGTTATCGCAACCTGCCGGAGTCTGGTGCTCCTGTTACAACTTCAGGCCACGTGCATGTCGCACCGCCTCCCTACCCTTACACTACTGCACTCTACACAGCACCCTGCGCTTTGTCCTGGCGGAGGGTAGTTAACCCCCTACGACCCGCTTCACCCGCTGGGGGATTCCGCACCCCTCGTAGAGGTCACCATCTAAGGCTCGTGCGAGGTTCGGCCTAGCCATGCTACAGCAGCTTCTTGATAGGTACTTTGCTTGGACAGCTCCATTGACCTTGTGCATCCATTCCTCCTCCTCCTCGGCGCCTAGCCTTCTGGTGACGGACTTGTCATCACATACACCACGGGTTGCCCTGAGGAGAGCCTCAGAGGCTGATACATTCTCAGCGAACAAGTCTCACAACCCATGGTGACGCCGGTGGGATTCGAACCCACATCTCCCACCGGTTAAGGTGGTGCTTTACCAATTAAGCTACGGCGCTGTTGCACCTTACCTCTTGTGCGCTGCGCGTCCATGTGAGCGGCGCCATCCTGGCCTGCTGGCTGGGAGAGACGTTCGACGCCGCTTCATGGAACTGCGTCGTGCAGCAGGCCGCCTCCTCATCCCCCTCGTCCTCTGCTGCGAAGTCGTCCTCGAAAGCTGCGGCAACAGCCGCCGCCAAGGCCGCCTTCTTTTCAACCGCCTTCTTGCGCTGCAGAAATAAAACCTTCAGGGCTGGGTTAGCGGGCTCGTAGCCCGCGGGAGCGAGCTCGGGGTGGAAAATGAAGCACTTGCTCTGCTGGTGACCCATGGTTCCGCAGAACTCGCAAGATGGCCTATTCCCCCGCGATTCGCTAGCACCCTGTCCCTGCTTGGGCTTAGATGGCCCAGCCCCCTTCTGCTTTTGCCCGCCCATTCCTCTGGACCCCCCTGAGGTCGACGCGCTGCCCTGTCCCTGGGAAATCAAGGCAACCAAACGCTCAACAATACCGGAGGGGATGTCAGAGGTCAAAAGCGCGGACTTCGTCTTTGGGGGATTTAAGACACGACACTGCGCCGTATCGTGAGATGCATTAGTGCCGTGCTTCTCGCAGTAGAAGGTGCGTTTTTCCTTAACAGGGGGTTTTGCTGCACTCTTCTGCTGCGACGGCTTTTTGTGTACCTGCACTGCCCTGTCCTCCAACGGAAGGTTATTCCATACAACCTCAGCCTCTTGTGCCGTCTTCTCCAAACGATCGTACCACTTGGTACGCTCCACGGTAATGAGGTGCCTCTCCAGGTGATGCCGAACCATGGGGTTTAAGCCCTCTAGAAAACGTTCCGCGACCTGGTGCTTGCTGACCCTACCGTCCAGCTTTTTCTCCAGCGCTAGCAGCATATCCTTGAAGACTATGGGAGAGAGAGCTCCCTGCTGCATGCTTTTGAAGCGCGCAAGATCACTTTCAGCGCGCGCCGAGGCAAAGTTTTCCTCTAGGATGTGGGCGTAATAGTCAAACAGTTGACGCGGGGAGACGGTGTTGGCTGCCGCACCTGGTTCGGATACACCGAAGTGCGCTGCGGCTTTAGATATGAGGTTTTGTCTGTGTGAGTTGTACCACGCCTCGAATGGCGTGTTACGACCAGGCAGTGCATCAAGGTAAGACTTCAGGCTTTCAACAGACAAGTTGTTCCTAGAAAGAGGGTAAGAAACTCCTTGCTGGAAAACCTTGGTAAGGAAGTCATCCAACCCGTTGTGCTGGAACGGGTCAAGGGTAGGGTAAAGGTTCTGCATGATTTCGTCGTCAGAATCGCTGTCCCTAGAAAAGATCGGGTTAATGTAGGTGCGGGGCCTACCTAGCGATTCGAAAAGACGCGACCACTTCTCCCTATCGGAATCTGTTCCGGTGGTTTCTAGTGGAGCAGTAACCTCACCCTCAGTTGGAGCTAACTTAGTCAGGGGAAGTTCCACCTGTACTGCTAGGCCACTATCCGAACGCGAGCGCGGAATACGGGCGGCTTCGCTAGTACTAGACCCTGAGGTGGACACCCTACGCGTATCCTTACGCGAAACCTTGCTTACCTCCTGCTGATCTCGCTGACTCGTCGAGCGAAGATGTTGCGCAGTGGCGGCCCGCGGGATGTTGCGACGTAGCGGCTCCGTGGGACTTATGCTTCCCTGTGTAATAATTAGCTTACGAAAAACAAGATGAGAAAAAGGAAAAGAGAAAGATGCAGCAACAAACGCGAAGCGAACAGGCAAGGACTAAGCAATAAAAAGCCTAGCGACTACTAAAGAGTACTAAACCCGCCCCACCTAAGCTGGTATCGCTGTAACGTTGCGTTGTAATGAGCTGCAAAAATTAAGAGTAGCTGCGTGAAAACAGCTGTAGTAATAATGATTCTGAAAAGTGATGATATGAGTACGTGGTGCAGCGTAATGATTGAACTACTGCTCTGTGTATAACGCGTCAGCGAAAAGACAGAAAATCGACTCAATGAAGTTACAGTGATTATTCCATCATGTCACTGCGTGGAGACGCGCACAGGTCTGCGTATTCAAATAAAGGTAGTCGAATGTTCGCCCCCTGGGCGCTGGCCGTAACAAAGCTCGTCGGCCGCGGAAGCTGCTCAAGCTCGGGGTCCAGCTGCACTACTACCAGGTATCGTATACGAAAAATAGCTGGGCGTGGCTCCAGGTCAAAACGCACGCCTCTCGCCAATAGACCTATGTCGACAGGCTCCGCCTCCTGGTCGAACGGATCGACCAAATGTGGATGATTAGGCTGATTAAACCGCCTGCAGGGGCCCTGCTGGCCCCGACCACCTTGATGCTGATAACCTCGGTGGCGCACACCGAGAGGGTTACGACCCGCGCGTCCTCTGAATGGCCTTCGGTAATCTTCCTCGTAACGGTCCACTGCAGAAGCGGAT